ATCCTTCATAGTCCTTGAGAAAAATCCTAAAACAAATCCACACCTATTATCCTTCATAGTCCTTGAGAAAAATCCTTAAAAAATCCACGCCTATTATCCTTAATAGTCCTTGAGAAAAAATCCTTAAAAAATCCACACCTATTATCCTTTATAGTCCTTGAGAAAAATCCTAAAAAAATCCACGCGTATAATCCTTCATAGTCCTTGAGAAAAATCCTCGCCTATTATCCTTAATAGTCCTTGAGAAAAAATCCCTAAAAAATCCACGCCTATTATCCTTAATAGTCCTTCAGAAAAATCCTTAAAAAAATCCACGCCTAAAAAATATTTTTGAAGACGTGGATTTAAAAACAAAATATTTTTGAATGAGTGGATTTTTTAAAAAATATTTTTGAATGAGTGGATTTTTTAAAAAATATTTTTGAAGGCGTGGATTTTTTAAAAAATATTTTGAAGGCGTGGATTTTTTAAAAACTATTTTTGAAGGCGTGGATTTTTTATAACTATTTTTGAGGCGTGGATTTTTTAAAAACTATTTTTGAAGGCGTGGATTTTTTAAAAAATATTTTGTCAAGGCGTGGATTTTTTATGAAATATTTTTGAAGGCGTGGATTTTTTAAAAACTATTTTTGAAGGCGTGGATTTTTCGAAAAAATATTTTTGAAGGCTTGGATTTTTTAAAAAATATTTTTGAAGGCGTGGATTTTTCAAAAAAATATTTTTGAAGGCGTGGATTTTTCGAAAAAATATTTTTGAAGGCGTGGATTTTTTAAAACATATTTTTGAAAGCGTGGAATTTTTTAAAACATATTTTTGAAGGCGTGGAATTTGTTAAAAAATATTTTTGAAAGCGTGGAATTTTTTAAAACATATTTTTGAAGGCGTGGAGTTTAAAAAAAATAATAATCCTTAAAAAAATATTTTTGGAGGCGTAGATTTTTTAAAAAAATAATAATCCTTTAAAAAATATTTTTGAAGGCGTGGATTTTTTAAAATAATATTTTTGAAGGCGTGGATTTTTTAAAAAATTAATAATCTCTTAAACAATATTTTTGAAGGTTTGAATTTTTTGATAAATATTTTTGAAGGCGTGGATTTTTTAAAAGAATATTTTTGAAGGACTATTTGAAGGCGTGGATTTTTTAAAAAATTAATAATCCTTTAAACAATATTTTTGAAGGCTTGAATTTTTTAATAAATATTTTTGAAGGCGTGGATTTTTTAAAAGAATATTTTTGAAGGCGTGGATTTTTTAAAAAATTAATAATCCTTTAAAAAATATTTTTGAAGGCTTGAATTTTTTAAAAAATATTTTTGAAGTCGTGGAATTTTTAAAAAAATATTTTTGAAGGCGTGGATTTTTTAAAAGAATATTTTTGAAGGACCAATACGTATTTTTGAAGGCGTGGATTTTTTAAAAAATATTTTTTTTAAGAAGCAAGGCGTATATTTAAAAAAAAAATATTTTTTTAAGAAGCAAGGCGTAGATTTTTTAAAAAAAATATTTTTCAGGGACAGTAGAAGGCGTAGATTTTTTAAAAAAATATTTTTTGAAGGCGTGGATTTTTTAAAAAATATTTTTGAAGGCGTGGATTTTTATAAAAAATATTTTTTGTGTGCTTGGATTTTTTAAAAAATATTTTTGAAGGCGTGGATTTTTTTAAAAAATTAATAATCCTTTAAACAATATTTTTGAAGGTTTGAATTTTTTAATAAATATTTTTGAAGGCGTGGATTTTTTAAAAATATTTTTGAAGGCGCGGATTAAAAAAAAATATTTTTGAAGGTCTATCACAAGGCGCCGATTTTCAAAAAAAAAATATTTTTGAAGGCGTGGATTTTTTAAAAAATTAATAATCCTTTAAAAAATATTTTTTTAAGGCTTGAATTTTTTAAAAAAATATTTTTGAAGTCGTGGAATTTTTAAAAAAATATTTTTGAAGGCGTGGATTTTTTAAAAGAATATTTTTGAAGGCGTGGTTTTGTTAAAAAATATTTTTCAAGGCGTGGTTTTGTTAAAAAATATTTTTCAAGGCGTGGATTTTTTAAAAATAAAAATATTTTTTAAAGGCGTGGATTTAAAAATAAAAATATTTTTTAAAGGCGTGGATTTAAAAATAAAAATATTTATTAAAGGCGTGGATTTAAAAATAAAAATATTTTTTAAAGGCGTGGATTTAAAAATAAAAATATTTTTTAAAGGCGTGGATTTAAAAAAAAAAAACATCTTTTTAAATTTTGGCAATGTCACACCCCATTAATCAAACAAACTTGTATTCGATTGCGATTTTCTTTATCTCCGACCCAAGACAAACTGACAACAACAATACGCAATTCCGATGCCCCTCGCATATACCTTTGTTAATTCCAATTAGCACATAATTACGCGGAGTTTATTAGCCGATCGGGTGCATATCATCTGTCTATATGTTTGGATCTCTAATAAATTTGTCCCGCAGCTATGCGTTGAGTATAGACAAATTTTGAGGTGTGAATTATTGTGACTCGAGCATAGCTTCCACCGAACAAAGTCTGAACAAAAAATTTGCGAGACAGAAATTGAAAACAATTTTGCCTTTGTTTTTGTTTTGAAGCCATTTACCATTTTGAAAAATAAATTATTTTTTTATGACATTATTCGTCACTGATCTGTTTATTTGTTACTTAACGCCGACTGACTGCCTATGTTGTCCCCCTAATTATTTTTTCATTGCCCCTAAGAGACTAAATGAATTGCCGATCATAAATGTGAATAGTTCTAAACTTTGCTAGATGAATGAAACTGAAAAGGCAGGCAGGCAGTTTGTGTTAATCATATAATCTTATCGTGAAAATCAACAATAACAATAATCAAGATTCGTTTTATGGCGGGCAGAAGTTCGCAAACTTTACCAAGAATTGGAAAAAATATATTTTTTAAAAAATCCACGCCTTGTTTAGAAGCTTAAAAATAACTTTTAAAAAATCCACGCCTTGTGTAGAAGCTTAAAAATAACTTTTAAAAAATCCACGCCTTGTGTAGAAGCTTAAAACTAACTTTTAAAATATCCACGCCTTGTGTAGAAGCTTAAAAATAACTTTTAAAAAATCCACGCCTTGTTTAGAAGCTTAAAAATAACTTTTAAAAAATCCACGCCTTGTGTAGAAGCTTAAAAATAACTTTTAAAAAATCCACGCCTTGTGTAGAAGCTTAAAAATAACTTTTAAAAAATCCACGCCTTGTGTAGAAGCTTAAAAATAACTTTTAAAAAATCCACGCCTTGTGTAGAAGCTTAAAAATAACTTTTAAAAAATCCACGCCTTGTGTAGAAGCTTAAAAATAACATTTAAAAAATCAACGCCTTGTGTAGAAGCTTAAAAATAACTTTTAAAAAATCCACGCCTTGTGTAGAAGCTTAAAAATAACTTTTAAAAAATCCACGCCTTGTGTAGAAGCTTAAAAATAACTTTTAAAAAATCCACGCCTTGTGTAGAAGCTTAAAAATAACTTTTAAAAAATCCACGCCTTGTTTAGAAGCTTAAAAATAACTTTTAAAAAATCCACGCCTTGTGTAGAAGCTTAAAAATAACTTTTAAAAAATCCACGCCTTGTGTAGAACCCTAAAAATAACATTTAAAAAATCCACGCCTTATGTTGAACCCTAAAAATAACATTTAAAAAATCCACGCCTTATGTTGAACCCTAAAAATAACATTTAAAAAATCCACGCCTTGTGTAGAAGCTTAAAAATAACTTTTAAAAAATCCACGCCTTGTGTAGAAGCTTAAAAATAACTTTTAAAAAATCCACGCCTTGTGTAGAAGCTTAAAAATAACTTTTAAAAAATCCACGCCTTGTTTAGAAGCTTAAAAATAACTTTTAAAAAATCCACGCCTTGTGTAGAAGCTTAAAAATAACTTTTAAAAAATCCACGCCTTGTGTAGAAGCTTAAAAATAACTTTTAAAAAATCCACGCCTTGTGTAGAAGCTTAAAAATAACTTTTAAAAAATCCACGCCTTGTGTAGAAGCTTAAAACTAACTTTTAAAATATCCACGCCTTGTGTAGAAGCTTAAAAATAACTTTTAAAAATCCACGCCTTGTTTAGAAGCTTAAAAATAACTTTTAAAAAATCCACGCCTTGTGTAGAAGCTTTTAAAAAATACACGCCTTCTGATAACTTCAAAAAATATTTTTTTAAAAAATACACGCCTTCTGATAACTTCAAAAAATATTTTTTTAAAAAATCCACGCCTTCTGATAACTTCAAAAAAATATTTTTTTAAAAAATCCACGCCTTGCGAGGACGTCCAAAAATATTTTTTAAAGAATCCACACCTTAGGACTCTAAATTTTTTTTTAATCCCCACCTTGTTTGGATCCTAAAAATATATTTTTTGAAAAATTCACTTTCCAAAAAATTACATTTTTTGAAATCTCTTCATTCACCCCCCCTTTAAGAAACCCTGTCTTCCCCCTGAAGAAGATCTTGGCCCCGTGTATTAAAGACATCAAATTATAAATCAACTTCAGAAACTTGTATGACTCTGTTGTTTGACCGAATGATGTTCGGAACGGGGCTGGCACAAACACACACGCCATAACAACAACAAAAAATATATCTTGAAATTATTCGAGCAAATATTTTTTCTATTTGTTTGATTTGCTGATATGAAGTCTCCTCAACTATACGAGATAAAGATTATTTTATAATGGGTGGGAAGTGGGGGAGGGCAGCACAGTACCGATCAGCGGGAAGATATTGCGTTGACATTGCCTTTGAGGCTCATTTGATTGAAGTTGTTGGATGGGTGTAGACCTAGATTTTGATTAGAGATTGAAATTGAAAAATTATTTTCTTTTTGTTCGCCATGAAAAACTGGGAAAATGTTGAGGCCCAGGTGCTGCCAAATTACAAACTTATACCAACCGAATATCGGTTTGATGGTGGGGAAAGAAAAAAATTGAATTTAAATTTTTGATTTTTAATTTCCAAATTTCTTTCTCTCTTTGTTTTCCAGAGGACCGCGAAATGAATGGCGTCAAAAGGGTGTTGATATTCTGCACCCTGATTGTGATACTGCCGGCCACCCTTATTGTCATACCACTGTATTTGCGAAGAACGGTCTTTGCCGAAGTCGTCTATCCAGTGGCCGAATCGGATATCATTGAGATACGTGATGGCATTTCCTCGATATTTTGCCAACAACATTCCCTGAGAATGAACAGCAACTTCAATGCCTTCCAGCTGAGCAGCAAACCGGAAATATCTTCGAATCACAAACATATCCGTCTCAAGAAATCCATGACCCTGCCGGATGATACCTTTGAATATTGGGGATTTTATTTACTGAAGGGGGCAAGGGTGTTGCTGAAATTTTGTTCCCGTTACGAGGGGGCCCGCATGTTGGTTGTCAAGGGTGCCCGGGAATTGGACACCTGTGGTCTGCTCGATCATAACAAAAAGAAAATGGGTCCAAATTATCCCCAGAATCATGAACAGGTCAAGGTTTTCTTTGAGGATATTAAAGAGATACCCGTGAATAATGATAGTGAGGCGCAGACGAGTACCACCGCACAGCCTATGGGACCGGTTCCCGAAAGTCTCATGGAATTGGAAAATAGTGGTGGTGAAGATTTATCCGAGGATTATGAATATGATATGGATGATGATGAGGAGGCAGCAAGTAGCAGTACAACGACCACCACGACAACAACCACCACAGAACCTCCTCCGAAGACCACCAAGGTGAGAGGTAAAAAATTGAAAAAGGGATCTCCCAACTCTTTGAAAAATCATCATGATCACAATGGTAACAGTCTTATGTCCAAGGAGGAGGAATTGAAAACCGTGGCCCATGAGGAAAGCAATACCAGGGCAAGGAGATCACATCATCGGGCAGCGACACACCACGAAGAACCCCACAGCAGATCGAGGAGATCACACAAACAGAACCCTTTCCAAGACGATGAACAAAATCACGACCTCCACGAAAAACGCAAACAACGCCTCTACGATCAACTCTACAAATCGCGACGGAAACGTGATCACATCTACGATCGTAAATACACCCATGGTGGCAATGCCATGAATTTCACCGAAACCGATGAATCCAATTCGATATCAAGTTTTGAAACCGGTCTCCTCGAGTGCTTCAAAACCAATAAACTTTCCTTTGGCAATTTCCCACCCATTGCCGAGTGCACAAATCCCCACTTTTTGGAGAACGGGTCACATCGTATGCTGTCGATACATGAAATCGATGCCGACGGTTATTACTATTACATTTTCTACAGTGATAACGATTTAGTTCGTAACGATATTCATGCGATCTTCGATATTTACAAACCGACATTTCAATATTCCAATATCAGCAACTCTCAGGGTTGTGTCAATGCCACCAATTGCACCTTTCCAATTGGATTTCTATCGGATGAAATTGTCATTGTTGAGGTGCCCACTCGGGATGGTATTGAACATGAGGAGGATGATATCACCTATTTGATCTCAACATGTCATCCACGTACCGAAATTTATGCCATATTTCCGATATTAGTTTTAATTTTGATATTGAGTTGTTCGTTTTTATAGAGAATATTCCGTTGAGAAGAACTGAGAAAGAAATAATTGAGAAGTATACGAGAGAGAGAGAGAAAGTGATAGTGAGAGTAAAAGAACGGTGAGATAAATATATAAAGTGGGCTGCTAAAGAGAGCGCGCGATGAAATTCCTAAAGGATTCGGAAAGCGCTTTAAAACTAACCCCAACGCGATGATCGCAAAAAGAGGGTCAGATTAGGTTTCTAAAGCGATAGAAGAGAATTAAAAAAAATCGTTCCTTAAAAAAATATTTTTTTTTAAAATCGGTCCTTGAAAAAATATATATTTTTTTTAAATCGGTCTATGCAAAAAAATATTTTTTAAAAAATCGGTCCTTGAAAAAATATTTTTTTTTAAAAATCAGTTATTAAAAAATATAGTTTTAAGAAAACAGTAATTAATTTTTTTTAAGTCGATCCTTTAAATAATATTTTATAGAATATCGGTATTTGAAAAAATATTTTTTATAAAAACCGGTAATACACGCCTTGTGAAAATTCGAAAAAATATTTTTTTAAATACACGCCTTGTGGAAATTCGAAAAAATAATTTTTAAATACACGCCTTGTGGAAATTTGAAAAACATATTTCTTTAAATACACGCCTTGTGGAAATTCGAAAAAATATTTTTTTTAAACCCACGCCTTGCTGGAAGTGGAAAAGATTTTTTTTAAATTACAAATTGCTGGGAAAAATATTTTTTCCATCGAAAATTTGCTAGATTTTTGGAAAAATGTCTCTCTCTTCATAAAAAAAAAATCCATTCGTTCTATTTTTGAGGTGCTTATACTATGAGGAACCCACTGTGATAAGAGATATCCATAAAAGGGCACTCCCAACAAATATAGAACAACAATTTACATATCATCAAGTGGCATGTGTTCGGAAATAAGGGTCTGCTGCTAAGTGTAAGATGATTTACAAACTGAAAAAAAGAAAAACGAAAACAATAAAAATAGTGCCTTGGGACTATTACTGAAATTACTCCCATAAAATGCTAAAACGAAAACATATAAATTAAAAAAAAAATATTAAATTTGAAAAAATAAAATATTATGGCAAACTCCCCCCTTAGAACTACTTGAAATGTAAAAAGCATATCAAAACATTTGTGAAACAATAATAATAAATAACGAATGTTGGAGTTCATCACGCTATAAATTTTTTTATATCCCTCCTCTTTATCAATATTTTAAATATTTCTATTTTTATTTTGTTCCACCATATATCAAAACACAGATGGCATTTAATCATCACATTGCTTTATCGCCCTCGTCCAAACCTATCCATCCATCCATCAAATTCCCACTTTGTTGTTATCATCTCATAATTAATGTTAATTATTTAATTACATATCTCAAGTTCGAAAGTAAATCATTTACCTGATAATAATAATTATAATTATATAAGTGATAGTATTGAGCTATGACAAAAATTTAGACTATTAATATAATATAATACATATACACACACTATATTTCATATCAATTATAATAATTAGTAATAATAAATTTTTTATAATAATACAAAATAAATAAAGTATTGAAAAATTCATAAATTAAAATTTTTAATTTTTGTTGTTAATTAACAGTTATGCGATAAGGGTAAGTATAGATAATTGAAAAAATAGACTTAAATGTAGAAAATATTAAATTCAGCTAAGATTTTCATAAAAAAATTAAAATTTAGCAAAGAGTCCCTTGGAAAAATTTCAATTAAGCTGGAGAAAAAAAAAACGTTTTCAATCGAACCTTGTCTATTTTTTTAGCATTCAGTTTATTTGTGTGTACATTATATAACAAATCAGCTAAATATAATATTAATTTAGCAATTTGTCTTTAGGAAATATTAATTCAGCAAAGAGTTTCTTGAAAGAATCGAGTTTTTCTAAAGTAAATATCAGCAGATCAAACAGTTCTTATCGCGCAAGTAAACAAAATTAGGTGTTATCAAACAACAGTGAATGTCTACGACGAAGAAACTTAATTTATTGGTCAGACTTTTGTAGTTATTTTTAGACGTGCAATAATTTAATTTGCATCACCATGGATCCCCCTCTCTTTCTTTCTTTCTCTCTCTCTCAACTTCACTCAACAACATCAGGTGGTGCAACAAAACATCATTGGTAAGCTTATCACAATAGTACATTGAAAACAAACACTCATCTCATGTGTAATCAATCTACAGTGAGTGCTGGGAAGCATAACAAAACAAAAACAACAAAAAATATAACAGAAGTTACTTTCACTAGTTTCCTTTGTGGTCGTTATTTTTAGACTTGCAATCTATTTATTGATGCTACAGTTATATATTCTCACTCTCTCGAAAATATCATAACACACCACACTCTCTATTTCTCTGTAATCACAAGGTGGACGCAACAAAATTGTCATATGTGAACGAACATGTCATTTGTAACCACAGAGTGGTATTAAACCACAGTGAATGCCTCAGACACACATTTCAAAGAACAAGAGTAATACCTTTTCCCATTTCCTTTTGTCCGTTATTTTCTGAAGAGTGCTGGAGAGAGAGAGCATAACAAATATAAGAGAAGTTACTTTTATTGGTTTACTTTTTGGTTATTACTTTTAGAGTTACAATCTATTAATTAATAAATGGAGCAACCAAATTATCACAAATGAACATTATCGAAAACATTGCCTCACACACTCTCTCTCTTCCCCTGTTAACAAAAGAGGCAGCAACCAAATTGTCATCTGTGAACATGATCTAATCAACTGAAATTGTAAACAAAAACTCACCACGGCGTGTTATCAAATAACAGTGAATGCCTGAGAACACAAATTTCAAGAAGAAGAAACACTAAATTTATTCATTTCCTTTTTGCCGTTATTTTCTGACGCCACTTTAGCCAAAAAAGTGAATTTAATTTGAAGATAAAAATAAAAAATGAGTTACTTAAGTAATTTTCTTGGAATTGTGCAGCAATTTTGTGAAGAGGATTCCGAAATTGAAGAACTTCTTAAGGAAACCGAAGAATTGTTAAATATACAAAAGAATTTGGAACAGGATGAGGAAGGTATGATCACTTTGAGGTTATGTTTAAAGCTAACGTTATTTTAAAATGAATATTTAAATTACTTTAGAAAATGAAAGTGAACATACACGCCTCCAAATGGAACTCTTTAACGTTAAACTAATTTTGTTGCCCCTTAACAATTTACCCGATGAAAATGTAATTGTCAAAACCAATCAACAACTGATGGAGAGTTGTGTTAACATTCGCTATGCCTTGTCGCAGATAGATTATATTAAAATCTTACAATGCAAACATATGGAAATGGAACAAACCTGGCGTAAGGAATGGCAAAAGATACAAGATTATACCGCGTCCATGTTGAAGTGGCATAAGAGAATGGAGGCTCGCGATGTGGTGCAGAAATATCGTAAAGTTGAAGTGATTTGGAAGGGAGTGAAAAATAATTTCGAGACCAGTCAACGGAGCTATGAAAAAATTTTAAATGAAAATCGCCAAAAATTGAATGAAGCCAAGGAAAAATATCAGCAATTAATTATTGCCATGGTGGAGGCTTGTCGAGATGGAGATAAGGCTAGGAAAGAGGTAAGATAGGTTTTATTATTAATAATGGATTTTATTTTTATACCTATTTTTGTTTGTAGCTTCAAACTTTACAAGAATACTGTAAACAATTGGAGGCTCTAAGAAACAAGAAGGCGGACTTGATTCAACAAATAGAGGAAATTGAAAGCAAGGTATGTTATTTTAAATATGATGTCTGATATAGTTTTTTATTGTATTTTATTTTTTTTAATTATTCCAGCATTTCAAATTATTAATGCCATATCAAAGCTCTGTTGACTTTGTAACTCCCGATGTCCTGAAAGCCTTTAACAGCGGCATGCCCAAATTCCCAACATTCAACGAAATTCTAAATAATTTCAATAAAGACATGACAAAGCCCACCGATGTAAAACCCGAAATAACTGTCATTGAAAATACCACCAATATTACAGTGAAATCGATTTTACGCAATAGCCAAGATAATTCAATGGAATTTAATCAATCAATTACCACCAATCATACCAAACATGTGCGCTTTAAAGTGCAATTGGAAGAACAATTTGAATTTAATAAATACGGTGATTCGGCGGCAATATCTGAGACTAGTTCGGAAGATTCTCAGGATACCACAATTGAAAAGCCACAGACAACAAATATGGAAACACTTGAAGGAGAAGAAGAACGTTCCAAGAATATACCAATAATTGATTTGTTAACTCCCATAGAGGATGGTAAAAACAACAAAAAAGAAACCCCAACTAAAACTGAAGCCACAAAAAGCAGTCCAAAGCAAAACATTGATATTCTGGAGTGTATTGTAATAAAACCTGGTCAAGGGGCCAAAGCTAATAATAAAGAAAATATTCCCCCATCAACATCATCGTCTTCATCATCATCATCATCATCGTCATCATGCAAAGATAAAACCCCTGATGCCAGAAAATTTAATGATGAAGAAATGCCACCTGCTGCAGACGAAGAAGAGGAGGCAGAGGACGAAGAAATTGAAAACTTATCTTCGCCACCCAATACCTCAGATTCGGAATTGAATGATCCACCCAATACGAGTAGAAAAATATTTAAAGATTTCGATTATTATCTAAACATGTTTAGTAGTGATGAATATAAACCAGAAACATCGACGAACAAAACTAAGAAGCCAACAAAAAATAAACCACAAAAAATAGAAGCTGTGGATGAAAAATCCTCTAAGGTGGCAGTTGAAGAGGATTCTATGGTACAAGATTTTGATATTGTTGGTTTCGGTGATGATACTTTCTTGATGGATTCAAATAACGATTTGTTGGACGATGGTAGTGGTGGTGGTATGGGAAGTGTTATTGATTTTCTTTAAAAATAACTCTTTTACAAATTAAACAATTCTAATAGAAAAAATTAAATAATAGAATTTTTATGGATTATCGTTAAAAAATTTTTATTAATATTTCATTTAATATAAATGTATATAAAGTGTATTTAAGATTTTTTTATGGAATAAATTAATAAAATAATTAATTTTTGAATATAATATATTATGAACATATTAGTCTTTTTTATCCTCTAAGAGAAAATCTATTGGGATTCAATGAGAAGATCTATTAGATGTCTTTTATAAGAAGGTATTTTATAAGATGATCTACTGGGCCTTCTATAGGATTTCAGATTGGTATTCTAAAAGATGCCCCATTGGACTTCTATAACACGACCTATTTGTCTTCTATAAGATGTTCTATTGGTCTTCTACAAAATGGCCTACTGGTCATTTAATAGGATTTCAGATTTGTATTCTAAAATATGACTGCTGTGTCTTTAAATTCTCTAAAAGATGGTCTACTGGTCTTCCATAAGATGAAAGATTGGTATTCTATATGATATTTCCTTGGAAGTCTATAAGAAGACCAATTTGCAGAATAAAATATTTAGAAGTGCAACCGGGCCAACGGTATGCTGTGTCTTTAAATGCCTAACCATTACATGGATGCTATGTAAAATAGGTGTTTTGTACTTTAAGACCCCTGGGAAACAGCTAGGCCGCACAAAATGCCTACAACTAGGCGGCGGAACCTTAGTATGGGGTCTAAACTGCGGCAAAATTTTGTTTCGGGGCTCCGACGAAGGTGATGCAAACGGGTATAAAAATGAGGGAGGTTAAAAAATAGTTAATAAAAATAATCGACTTACCCATTCGTGGAACTCGTTTCAGATCGATGTAGTTGTGGGGGGCAATTAAAAGTGTTGTGTTATATGCACGACATTTGTTGAATTTGGATTTCAGGACATTTTCTAGATTTTCTTCTAATTATTTAACGAACACGCATACATTATTTATAGCTGTTTTATATAACAACTTTTGAGCTTCTTCGGCACACTTAATGGGCCCAGTGGACCTAAAGCCCGAATAAAGTAACCACTTTTGTTATAATCACTTTTTCCGACATAAGGGCTTTTTGACAATTCCCCGAAATTTTTCGAACACTATAAAGATCGATTTTAAATTAATTTTTTCCGTTTCATTGGTGGCCTTCGTGGACCCCATGGATCTACAGCCCGAACTATAAACACTAAAATTATCACTTTTTCCGAGATAACTTTTTGAGAATTTTCCGTAATTTTTTCGAACTTTTATATAGATTTATAAAATAATATTTTTGTACGCTTCTAATAGGTCTTTGAAGGCTCCATTTCGCACAAGTTTTTTCTAGACGAAGACCTCTATGGATCTCACTAGGAGCAATTTAATTTTATTAATGCCACTCTTCCGATATTTTCCAGCTTTGGCACTTCGACACACATTACATAACGTTTTTAAATAACAAATAAGGGCTTCCAAATCGAGCTCCATGTTTTTATGCAAAGAACTCCAGAATTTCCCCCAAAGAATTGGGGCGTCTTGGCGCCTTTCCCGCCTTTTTTACACACACACTTCACAACCATATAAAGATTATATTTTTGGAGCTTGTAGGCCCAATATTGATCCATTTAATTGGAGAACACTTTGTGGTAAACATTTGTAGATACTTTCTAGCCCGTTAAAGATCATTCCACCTGATTTATGGCAGGATTTTCCTCAAAGCCAAGCAAAAGCTTCTGCTGCCAACGTCAATTACTAGGTTATGTCAATCAAGATGTCAATGTAATAAATAGAAGATTGTAAAATTTACATTATTTCAATATATGTTCATTTTTTTAACAAATTTTATAATAATTTGTTGATATACTTGTTTAATTATACACAATTTATTCAATTCTCCATTTAAATTCATTATATAATTGTATTCCATTGCGCTTTTTCTTCTTTCTTCTCATTGGCACTCACTATGAACTGATAACACACATAAACCCTATTATCCAAAAGCCGTTAAAGGAGTTTCAACGACGCCGTCAAAAGTGTACGAACGACTTCAGACTGCAATATAGGGTTGATTGAATTTTACGTGAATGGGCGCCAAAAAAGAACTGCAAAAATATTTTTTTGTATACATCTAACCGACGAACAAGCACATCCATCCATACATCCTCTACTCGCTTTGGCTTCATTTTCAGCAGCGTCTTGCAAAAAACTGCGGTCTGCGGCCTACACAATTGAAAAAAAAAACGGAAAAACAGAAAGATTTTGTACACAATTTGGAAATCAGTTTTTTAATTTACAACAAATAAAACAAAATGCCACGGGTAGCCAAGGGAAAAGCCAAAAAGGACACAACATCTGAAGCAGCAGCTGCAGCAACGAAGACGCCAAGTAGTGCTGAAGAATTGTTTGATGCCTTGACAAAAGAAAATAAAAAAGATGATGACAATATTAATGACATTGCCAACAACAACGATGATGAAGATGAAGAAGCAGCACCCGCCGTAGAAGTTCCAGCAAAAGCCACAAATGGCAAAGCAGCAGCAGGCCGTGGCAAGAAAGCCAAAGTTGAAAAAGAAGAAAAGCCGGCTAAAAAAGCCCCCGCCAGCAGAGCTAGGGGAGGTAAAAAAGCCGCCGCTGCCGCCGTTGTTGAAGACAGTGTTGAGGTTACAGCCAAAGAGACCGAGAACGTTGTCATCAGCAATGGTGATGCAGAAATGGGGGACACAGAATCACTGCCAAAGGAGGAGGAGGCGGAGGAAGAAGCTGTTGTGGTGACTAGCAAAGCTAAAGGTGGTAGGGGAGGTAAGCGTGGTGCCAAAGCAGCGGCAGCAGCAGCACCAGTTAAGGTTGAAAATGGCGATCAAGCCGTAAATGGGGATACCAAGGATATGGAAAAGGAAGAAGAAGTTGTTGCAGCACCCAAATCCAAGGGTCGTGGTGGTAAGAGAACCACCAAACCGGCTGCCAAAAAGGCGGAGGAGGAGGCTGTAAATGAGGATGTTGCAGCTATTGCGGCCACAGAAGAACCTACTCCCAAAGTAGCCAAAGGCAGAGCGGGTGGTCGTAAAAAGAAATCAGAGGAAAAGGAAGAAACGGAATCAGTAGAAATTAAAGGTGGGTAATATTTAATCTAATATCAGAAATCTTTTACCAATCGATTTCTCTCTTTAGAAGAAAAAACTGAAGAAATTGCAGAGGAGGTGCCTGAACCACCCAAAAAGAAAGGAAGAGCCTCAGCAAAAAAATCAGCTGCAAAAGAGCCAGTTGTGGAGGAGGATAAAACCGAAACGGCAAAGCCTTCCGCCAAAAAAGCCACCAAGAGAGGTGCCGCCAAAGACACCAAGGAAAAAGAAGAAGTCGAAAAGGTGCCCCCGAAGAAGGCAAGAGGAGGAGCAGGAGCTGCAGCCAAAGCAGCAAATATAAAGACTGAAGAAATTTCAAATGATCATGATGTGCCACCACAAGAAAATGGCGGTGAAGCTATTGTGGTGGAAGCTGCAGTTCCTAAAAGTAAGTCCACATCATACAAATCATTGCTGAAAAGATGTATGTAATATTAAATTTCCAATATTTACAGAACGTGGCCGTAAAGATGCCACCGCTGAAAAAGAACTAAAGACTGAAGAAGAAAAACCTAAAAAGGGCGGTAGAGGTGGTAAACGAAAGGCGGCCGAAAAGGTCGTGAAGGAGGATGAGTCGGAGCCGGTCGTTGAGGCAAAACAAGTGAAACAGGAAGAGGAGCCAGTGGCTTCGGAAGTTGTTAAAGAAGGTAAGCTATAGTCATTAATATTTTGGTGTGCATAATTATGTTTCAATACGGGGGGAAATTCAATTCGCATACACACCTACAAACATTCAGCTTTTTTATCATTTGATTTATTGTGTATACTATAGCTGCAGATTCAAAGTCAATTATGTGTGTGTGACTGTGTGTTTGGTTTTATTATTTGATAACAAAATAATCAACACGAAGGTTTGATGCCGAAAATTTTTCATTTATAAATCCACCACTCATTTGGGGCTTGAAAATAATTCTTGGGAAAAAATTCTTTTTAAATCCACGCCTCATTTTGGGGTAAAAAAACTCTTTTTAAATCCGCGCTTCATTTTGGGGTTCAAAAAAATTCTTTTTAAATCCACGCCTCATTTTGGAGTTCAAAAAATATATTTTTTAATTCCATGCCTCATTTTGGGTTTCAGAAAAAATTATTTTTAAATCCACGCCTCATTTTGGGGTTCAAAAAAATTCTTTTTAAATCTATGCCTCATTTTGGGGTTCAAAAAAATTCTTGGAAATAATTATTTTTAAATCCACGCCTCATTTTGGGGTTAAAAAAAATCTTTTTAAATCTATGCCTCATTTTGGGGTTCAAAAAAATTCTTGGAAATAATTATTTTTAAATCCACGCCTCATTTTGGGGTTCAAAAAAATTCTTTCTAAATCCACGCCTCATTTTGGGGTTCAAAAAAATTCTTTTTAAATCCACGCTTCATTTTGGGGTAAAAAAAAATCATTTTAAATCCACGTTTCGTTTTGGGGTTCAAAAAATTCTTTTCAAATCCACGCCTCATTTTCGGGATTAAACAAAATTTTAAATCCACGCCTTATTTAGGGGTTCAAAAAAAATTATTTTCAAATCCACGCCTCATTTTGGGGTTAAAAAAAATCCTTTAATAAATCCCCGCCTTATTTTGGGGTTCAAAAAATTCTTTTATAAATCTACGCCTCATTTTGGGTTTCAAAAAAAATTTAATAAATCCAATCCTCATATGGAGCTTGAAAAAAATCTTTAATTAATCCACGCTTTTCTTGAAGACGTTTGAAAAAAATTCTTAAATAAATTCTTGGAGTTCTGAGTGAGTAGGCGGTGTGGAATGCCTTTCCCAAGCAGTCTATTTTTTATATTTTCCCCAAATTTTTATTTTAATTATTTCAATATATTTTTGATATGAGTAGGACCCTACAATAAATTATATTTTTGAATATTTTTCTAACATGTTTTTAAAAATATTTCCCAATTTCCAGAAACAAAAACCACAGAAAAACCCACAACTAGCCGTGGCGGAGCTGGGAGTCGTAAACGTGCCGCACCGTCTACTAACAAAACAAAAAAGACAGCTGCCGATGCTAAAAAAGCTGACAAAAAAGTTGATGAAGACAACAAAAATGCTGACGACGACAACAACAACGATGATGATGATAATGAGGTTTTAGATGAAGACGAAGCAGATGGTTCGAAACGTAAGTTAGGTAAGACGTGCGGCACGCAACTGAAAAAGCTCTTATTTTCCTGTTTTACAGCTACAAAGGCAAAAAAGAAAAAGGATTCACCGCCCCTCAATTCGACCACTACGCATTACAATAAAGCTGATTTTGATTTGCCACCCTTGCCCGATGGCCAAACGGCTGATGAGCCTCGTTTCAACTTGAAAATTTCCAGCTGGAATGTTGCCGGCCTCCGGTCATGGCTTAAGAAAGAGGGCCTGAAATTTTTGGAATACGAAGAACCCGATATTTTCTGTTTGCAGGAGACAAAATGTACCACAGATCAATTACCCGAAGAGGTACAGCGTATACCCGGCTATCATCCGTATTGGTTGTGTATGCCCGGAGGTTATGCCGGTGTGGCCATATATTCCAAAATTATGCCTATCAATGTTGAATATGGCATTGGCAATAAGGAATTTGATGATGTTGGTCGGATCATAACCGCAGAATATGAAAAATTCTTTTTGGTCAATGTCTATGTACCCAATTCGGGTAGAAAACTGGTGAATTTAGAGGCCCGAATGAAATGGGAGAAACTTTTCCAAGAGTTTGTGGAAAAATTGAATGCCCGCAAACCCCTGGTCATATGCGGTGATATGAATGTATCGCATCAGGAAATTGATTTGGCCAACCCGAAAACAAATACCCGCAATGCTGGCTTCACCAAAGAGGAAAGGGATAAAATGTCTGAGTTGCTGGCATTAGGTTATATAGACACTTTTCGGCATTTGTATCCGGATCGCAAGGGAGCCTATACATTTTGGACATATATGGGTAATGCCCGGTCGCGAAATGTTGGCTGGCGTTTGGATTATTTCCTGGTGTCGGAACGTTTTATTAAACGTGTCGTTGACAATTGTATACGCAGCCAGTGTATGGGTAGTGATCATTGTCCCATAACGCTATTCTTGAAATTGTAATTTAAAGAAAGTGAAAGCGAATCGGAATTTGATTGTCTATTTTATAAATAATGTCGATTTGTTTTTTGATTACCTCACGTAATGAAATCGCATAGAGTCATTTTAATTATCTCTCTCGCTCTCTATTTCTCTCGAATAGAAGAAGTGTAACGATGTTTTAAGCACTCAAGAAAAAACCCCAAAAAATATAAACAAAAAGACAGTGGTAGTTCGTAAGCAAAGTTATGTCGTATATTAACTTGTCGTCTTTACTTTTTTTATCAAATTTTTGGCAGTATTGATTTTTTTGTTTTCTCTCAATTAAAATCGTTTTTTGTTTTATATTTTTGTATTAATAATACTCAAAAAGTAGTTTTTGTTTTCTTTTTAAAGACATCTTTGTTCGTTGTGAAGATGTCCTCCATACGTACATACATACTTATAGAGGGATTCCAATGTTGTATGTGTGACTCAAGTCCGTGTAATGGATGGATAAGTCCTTTCGCACACAATTGTTTAATAATTTTCAAAAGTATTATCAATATTCCAGTTTCAATACATTAGTATTTTGTTTTCTTTATAGTTTCTCTTTCTCTCTGAGTTTATAAAAACATATTTTAATAAAGAACAAGATATAACATAATAAAAATGTTTGTCTAATTATAAAATCGTATTCTAATTGTGTATTTTATTTTATTGTAGATCCCTCTGATGAGAGTTCGGGTTTGCCAATGTATACTGTATTTTTTATTGAAAATTTGAAATAAATTTTGAAAAACCAAACAGAATATAAACACACTGATCCGCCCACAAACATGTAGTAAGCTATGCGGCGCCAGTGTGGTTCGCGAATGTAGGCAATACGCAGTGGAAGAACATTCAAACCTGTTACAATGCCGTCCTGCCTCCTTACGACGCCAGTGGACCATTTAAATGAGAAGGCAATGGTCTTATCCGTACATCGTCACAACATGGTGTTGTCGATGCAGTACCTTCCTGGGTGTTATCACAGGAATCATCCATGCCATTATCTTATGCATAGAATTCCCCCACCCAGACACATAAGGAGAGACCTACATGATTTAGATCGAGAGGTCCAACGGTACAAAAGAGAACCCCTAGAGATCAACAGGCTTATCGAGCAGGAATTACCAGTATTCACACGAAAGCAGTGACCCAGGCAATGAACCAATACCATGTGAATGCAGTACTTAGAGTCCAGCCACCACATATAGCAGCAGAAGAGCGACAGCTGCCTACACAAACGAGAGTGGTATAACCCAATTAAGATCAGGGTGGTGCAGCCCAGTACCAAACACATGCCCTGCATGTGGACTTGGACCTCACGATACGCTGCATCTCTTTAACTGCCCTGCTAAACCCACTCATCTGTCTCCGGAATCTCTTTGGACGCATCCGTTACAGAACCGTTACGCATCCTTCCTGAACCTGGAAACAGAGGAATCAGAACCAGAATAATTGAAATACAACAAAAATGTAGACTGTTACTACATCAAAAACAACTGATCCGCTCCATTTTATTCTGAAACATACGAACTACCCTCCACAAGGATACATAGGTTGGTCTGAATGACCTTATTCTGACAGATCGGAATGTTCTTGTATTGCGTATCATTTGCAGCAGGAAGTTCTATGAAGGTGATATCACCGGAGCTGCTGAACGTATTTCTTTTTGGAATTCCACAGTCATCGGACGGCGTTAAGGCCATTGAAGAAATTATTTTTGGAATTCCACTCCCATCGGATGGCATTAAGATCATTGCAATATGTCGGATAACTATCTTACAGAACCTAGCGGAGATTTTTCCATTGAGAAATATGAAAATATCCGGCACGAAGTCAACGTTCTCACTCTTTACCACGTGGAATGAGTAATGTATGCCGCTACCTTTGAATGTTCAGGCCACAGCTGTATGCGATTAGGTCAGGAGCAGGATCAAGGTTCTCAAGTCCATGATTCCGACGACTAATTACCCTAAGGATCTGGTCGTCACATACGATAGTCTATATAAATTATTTGCGAATGACACAACTAATTTTGATAAGGTTAGGAGAAGATACAAGGTCATCATGTCCATAATTCCGACCTCTAATTACCTCAAGGTTCTACAGATCACATTCGATAGTTTATATAAGACGTTCGCGTATGCCACAACTATTTGCCATAAGCACAGGAGCAGAATCAATGTTCTCAGGCCCATAATTTCGACCACTTACTACCCCAACGTTTTGGGGTGCACATTCGATAGCCCATATAAGTCGGTTGCGCATGTCCCAGCTATTTGAGATAAGGACAGAAGCAGGAATAAGGTTCTAATGTTTATAATTTCGACCACTAATTACCCCAAGGTTCTAGGGGTCACTTTCGATAGCCTTTATATGTCGTTCGCGCATGTCATAACTATTTGCGATAACTTTAGGAGCAGAAACAAGGTTCTCAAGTTTCCATCCGAACCACCACCATATGGATAGGCATCCACCGTCTAGGCATGTCAGGAAGGATCTTCATGATCTGAGTAGAGAGACAGAAGTTCAAAGGTGCAAAGGGAGCCTCTATATCAACAGGACTATCAAGCAGGATTGAACCGTATTCACACTGATGGAGATGCAATTCAAGTATACAATCCTCGAAGAAAACCCGTCTATGACAACAACAGAAGAGCTGCAGCTACCACAACAAACCAGATAGATCTTAGCACAACTAATATCTGAATGGTGTAGCCGCCTAGAATTTGTAATGGGCACGAATTGATGGCACGGTGGACAATATCTGTCCGCCATAATCTTAACCTCATCTTCACTTTGGACACAACCTGCACAGGTCGAAAACTTTTTGAAGCTGGAGTTTTAGCTGTAACAACAACATTATGGTTAGGGGAGTTGAAATCACCCCATAGCTCACAATAATAAAGATAGAGCTTTGGAATTATTACTCCTATGAGGTTGGCTTTTGAAAATGGGATATATCGGTCCACGTTTTGGTATTGCCCCCATATAAGTTATCCATAAATATTCTGTATTTTGGTGAGTTTGGGCATGTTATGCAACTAGATAAGCCAAAATTTAGTATTTTGAGCTCTCATTGGATGGCAAATCTTCCTACCAATAATTATCAACATTGGTAGATATTTCAGATTGGCCACATATATCGATGCCCTCCATTATTCTTCAGTTAAAGAAATACTTGTCTTCATTGCATATCTTAAAATTTTTATGACGATAAAAACATTTTTGAAATAACGCTAATAACTTTTCGGGAAAATCGAACTGATGTTTCAGTTATTGGAACCCTTCCGATTTAGCAATTTTCAATTATATTGTCTTATATCTATCTCTTTCCATTTCATTTAATCAAATAATAGCCCCCATTCTTTATTTTATTTCTATATATTTCGTCAATAAAAATAATGCCAATTTTTCCAGTAGTAATAATAATAAATATTCAAATTACAAAATACACAAATTAATCCATTTTAACAAAAATTTACAATTTAAGTTTAAAAAGGGGCATAAACTATTTAATTTAAAACTTAAAATAAAGATTAAAAGCACTTAAAAGTAATTTAAAAAAATGAAATAAAAAATAATATTACAATACACAATTTTTAAGGGAGTGGTTAATAGATGCCGTGGGCAAAAATCAGCACCAAATAAATACCACTAAACTCTTAAAGAGTTAGTAGCACTTTTTTTGTTTTAATTTTTACCATGGCATAAAAAACCAACCCCCTAACAATTTTCAATTTATCACAATTTGTATTTAAATTTCCTTTTTGTATTCTTAGAATTTTCTAAATCTCTCCAATAATTTAACCCAGTGTCATTCTTTTCAAAATTTCCCCCATATACATGGCAGCATGTTGTTTTTGTAGGATTTCAGTGAATATCTCCGGATTCATTTCTAGATGAGACCACAAAAGAGTTGTTGTTGGTGGAGCTACTAATGGTGGTGGTGGTGAGGTTATATAATATGGTGTAAAATATGCAATATCCATTAATTCATTTGCTGCAAATCTTTTATATTCTAGATTTTTATTCAAATTTTCTTCATTATCACCATCATCATTTAATTCTTGGTGTTTACGTTTGCGTGGTGTTGTTGATGTTGTGGATTTTTCATCAAGGGCATATGGCCTAAAGATCGTACCGGTACGTTTACCATTTAAGGCTGTTTTAATTGGATTTGTATTGCCATTGCTGATTGTTGTAGTTGTAATGGTAGGTTTCTTTAAATCAATGGCCATTTCATCCTGCTGAGCTCGATATATTTCCGGACAACGTGCTCCATATTTTTTGTGGGCATAACGATTTCGGGGAATCCTTGTATGTTTACCATTGCCATCCTGTTGCTGTGTTAATTCTATGCTTAAAGCTGGAGCCATTTTGCTTATTTATTTCCAAAGAAAGGTGGTTACTATTTCTTGGAGTTATTATTTTTAATATATTTTTATAATACAATTTATCCAACTTCTTATATTTTAATACATATCCGATGATCAGCAATGGCTTCTGTAGAGTAGGCATACACTACCACAATCCATAACATTGACTTTTGACATTCCACCGAACAAAAATTGTAGGAATTTCTAAAAATTATTTAAAAAATTGTTTACATCTAACATTTTATACATATTTTTATTAATTTTGTTTAAATATATTGTGAAATATTCACATGGGATATCATCATACTCCCCTAGGTCATCACAAGATCCATTTTGACAGTTAATTTGTTTTTCTGTCTGATACTCACTACTGTTTGTATTAAATCCTTTAGAATTCTCTCCACTTTGTATTTTCTTATTATTTTTTAATAATTCTTAATAATTTGTTGTAAAAATTACAATTCTTTTTAATTTTATTGTTTAAAAGTGGCTTCTTTTATTGTTTTTCTTATTTTGTTCTATGTATTCTCCTTCGTTTGATTATTTCTCCCCATTACACACACACTCTCTATCTCTCTCTCTTCCTCACTAATACCCGTTTTGACAACTCTCCTTTAATCATTAC